ATTCAATACTTGTTATTGGTCGGGATATGTGATCACGTCGGGATATTTGATCACGTCGGGCTCACCAATTTAGGATTTGTCCTGGTGCGAACTTGACAGACGCAAAGACCAATCACTAATTATTCGAACTTGTTATATACCCACGAATACGAGACCAAGGAAGAACACGATAGCGTAGTCGGATGGAATAGTATATTTGGATGGTTATGCCAAAATACCGATGCGTTCCAACTAACTGGCTAGAGAGTCGAATACGAGCAATGCAACGTAACACGACAGCGTGCCAAATGGCGAGGATGCTTGACCGGATGCCTTCAGCTTAGCGAGTCCAGTTAAACTATCAAGGTCAGCATCAATGTCGAAGTCGTCAAACCCTAGGCTATTGATTTTGGGGAAGTGTATGACGCTACAGTTTCATATGAAAAGGTCTCTTGGTATAGAGTACTAGAAACCGCGTAGCGTGGAGCCATTACAGGTAAGTGACATCCTGAGCCAATATGTTAATTGGCCTCTGGTTTAATCATCTGTTCGGAATGTCTCTGCTACCAATACTGTTGGGAATGGTGGGCGGTTCGTTACATTTCATTAAACCATCAAGTGAGGAGTCACTTTTTTGAGGTCTAACAAATCCATCCAGGGGAGGAGATATTCCATTTTACACTGCATATTTTCGACTACCTTTGAGATTTCTAGAACATCTAACTTAACCTTATTAACGTCACTGTAGATGTCAGTCATAAGGTCTGGTAACTCAAATGACGGACCGCGGTCGCTAGTCGAACTTCTAATCTTAGGCGATAGATCAGATAGTTTCAGCCTTTTCGCGCTGATACTCCTGTTTCTACGGGGACCGCTGACACTCGTTTTCATTCTCAGAAAAGCAAGCAAGAAGCGTCAAAAACACAAGTGATGCTATTATGTTAGACGAATAGCTAACGAGTTGAATAATAACAGATATTAGATATCAGTTAACTTCAACAGAGTCGTGGGTTAGGCAATAACAATAACTTTCCTCGCCAGCTTATAAGTACTTTTCAATAAGTGGGTGACAATCCAACTGTCTGCTACTTTGAAGTCGAGATGGATACAGGTAACTTCAACGTTCGAAAGACAGGTTCAGGGCTTCTTCCTGTTACCTGTGGTTTGGGGTTTGCAGGATTTGGAGGGAGACATGTACACCCTCGAGAGATTCAGCGTTTTCCAGGAGGCAGGTAGCAACCAGAAGCAAAAGAAAAGAACGGAACTTCTTTGAACACGAGGGAAACGAGGGGTTATGTCAGGCTCGTGAAAATGATACATATCTGTAAATTCAGGAATGAACCGCTATTATTATTATTACTATTATTGTCATTATTATTGCCTGACTGTGAATGGTTAAACTGTGTACTACTAATTTTAAGGCGTTCTTGGGCACACATGGGGTGCAAAGTAGGAATGGATGCTATCACAGTCCCCAGCTTTTTCAAAAACCAAGGGACCCACTAGTGCCTAAACCAATACTCAGACCTTGGAAAACAGTTATTCAACCATATTTAACATGATGACTGGCATAGAAATCCAAGACGCACCTTCTTGATTACTATGTCGGTCAAAAGGATCAATATAACATCATGAACATCTGGCAGTATCGAGACATTCGCATAGGAGCCCATCTACTGACAGCTACCAAGCGATTCGACCTTGTATAGCAACTGGAAATCACCAGTACCACTACAATGATTGACTAGCCTTCAAAGTGACAGTATTATTATATCTAGAAGAGCTGCCACACATTCGCGTTACTGATAGCGACCCAGCCATATCTTTCGATGACAAAATTCGCTAGATATTAATGGCCGGATCATCTTATCTAGCAGCCTAACTATTAGGCTGGCGAGACTAAATGGACGTAGCGTCACACACTTCTTCAGAATCATTAACCTGGGCTCGATGAAATTCAACACTGATTCTTACCTTCATAGTTTGACTGGACTCGCTAAGCCGAAGGCACACGGTCAAGCATCCTCGCCATTTGGCAAGCTGTCGTGTTACGTTGGACTGCTCGTAATCGACACTCTGGCCAGTTAGCTGAAACGCGTCGGTATCTTGGCATGGCCTGCCAAATATACTACCCATTCGACTACGCTATTTTTTTCTTGGTCTCGTACTTGTGGGTGCATAACAAGTCCGAATGATTAACGATTGGCCCTCGCGTCTGTCGGGTCCATACCACGACAATTCCTAAATCGACGACAGTCAGCTACAAGATGCTGGTAACCGTTTTCATGGCCTAAACTGAAGATGAAATCTTCGCAGTTACTGGGTGATTTAGGCTTATTCATTGACATATTAAGCAGTCGGACTGGCACATCACTGATGATGTTCCTTAGCGCATATAACGTCCAGGACCGTAACTCGTCAGAACCATTAGACTATCTGGACTAAGACTGAAAAATAACATTGAACCTTTCGGTTGGTTCCTCTGCGCTAAAATCTGCCACCAGCCCTGAACCATACCGCAAAATCAAAAAGTGAGTATGAAGAAACTGGATCCAAGATTGGATCTTGCATTTCTTGCGAATCCTACAAATTCCTAGCTTGGGGAATCTATGTGTCCCCTAAGAGCAACTTGGAACACAACCAAAAATCGCTTGAAGTAATATCCACGGTGTCAACTATGGGGTGCGACCACATCCGAATGGCTGGCGGCTTCAACCGTCCGACCCTCAGCCTAGAGCAAGGTGGCACAACTTCGAGCCAGAAGTTCGATTATAACCTGCCAAATGCCATCCAAATAGCTGGACTGCAGGAAAAAATCAGCGACAACGCTGAATGGGGGTCAGATGGTAAACCATCTAAACCGGATTACCTACCGACCAGCGACCTCCTTGTGGTTGAAAACGTTCAGGTACAACTCCTCTTGGAAGCAGAGGTCACGTTATAGTAGTGTTCGATCTGATAGTCAGTGCACATTTATAGTGGGAAGGATTTTGTCCTTACCTCCGTTACAGCAGGGCAACAACAAAGGCCCATTAAGAGCTCCGTGGCCAGTAAATTGGTATTCCTTATCTGTCGACCAACACTGGGAACTGGTAGAAGATATCGTCAAAGTGGCCATCAGGAAAAATGTCCCCTTGGCGGTAACAACACCAGGAAAGCGAACCTCATGGCCAAAACGAGGCACTGGGCGCCTTCTAAAAGCCAAGAGAAGGGCATGGCACACATAAAGACTCTCCTCGGATAAACAGAAGCTCCCACGAGGGTGGAAACGGGCTGTGCTTCCTCACGTCTTCAAAGGAGGAGATTGGCAGAGTCCCAACTGTTATAGAATCGCGGCACTTCTACCAGCGACATCAAAGGTTATGGAAAGTGTAGCGAACGACCGTATTACGGGATGTCCGGACAAGAAACAAGCACTCGGTGACGCTCAGCATGGCTTCCGGAAGGGTAGATCTTGTGCCTCTAACCTCCTGACGGTCCACAATCACTGGACAGTATGTTGGGATCTTTAGGTCCCGGTTCACGCAATTTTCCCTGAACTTCTCCAAAGCCCTTGACACTGTCTCACACACGATAGTAGTGCATAAGATGGCTCGGCTAGGTATACGCAGCAAGGTGCTATTGCGGCTGCAGAACTACTTAGGCAATATGGAGTTCTGCACGAAGGTCAACAGGGTCTCCGATTCTCCCATACGCTGATGACGTCAAGTTATTGAGGGCAGTGCCTTGCGAAGCGGTATTGAGTGCATTACGGGACGACCTCGAAACACTAGAGAAGTGGGTAACTAATAACGAGCTGGCATTTAACCTGGATAAGTGCCAGTCCATGTTTTTCCGCACCCCTGATACACAGAAATTGTCCTACCATCTCTTTGGTTCACGTCTATTCCATACCGCAGCAGAAGAAGACTTGGGCCCAACAGTAGCGGAGAAACCTGACACAAGTTCTGATTACCCAGGTGATGCTCCAAAAGCATGCGGTGTACTACACTTTGTGCATAGACGACCAGGTACTCTCATACCAGAGCACCTTTTTGAGCTCCACAAGACTGACGTACGACCTCACTTAGAGTTCCTTAACGTCTTCGCTCCAACACAACTGAAAAGTAGCACGAACCTACTGGAGAAAGTCCACAGGCGAGCCGCAAAAGGGGTTGTTGGGATGCAACGAAAATCGCATGAGGATGGGCTGAAAGACCCAGGCCTACACTCTTATAGCTATCAAAGGTTACGAGGTGACTTGGTGATGGCTTACAAAATACTGAGCACCCCAAGTTACCCGAACAGATGATTACTACCTAGTGGCCACTATGGTGATCCTCGTGGAAACTCTAAGAGAATTGCCCACCAAAGGTCAACAACTCATATGCGTTTACACTTCTTACCCCTCCGAGTCTGCGGGCACTGGAATCCATTACCACCAAAGGTCGTCTCAACTACATCTGCTGAAAGCTTCAAAAAAGGCCAGACAGTCACGCAGAGACCCATGGTCTACTCACAAGTAGCTGCAACATGAACTGAATCGAAGAAATCAACAGATGTCGCGCCATTCCAAACATGTTGCCTGTACACCAGCTTTCTTCTTGCTGCAACCATTTACTCTCTTTCCATCTCTTCCACTTGCCATGAGTTAGCTTCGCCAACCTGAGTTCTTCATATCTTTGCACACTCCTCGCCTTTCTTGGGTGTAAGTAGATTACTCTATTAGTTCACTCTTCTTTTCCCTTTCACTCACATAAATTTACCTTTCTAGGTTTTCTCTTCACTATCCCTAGCTCTCTTGAACGATCAATCCAAACAACTGTCTGGCAACTAGACATCTGAAGAAGCCAACTGCACCACAGTCCAAGGCGAAGTAGCCAACACTTTACCTCCTGTTCTGTACACCACAGCTATGGCAGATGAGCGGCTGGATCCACTGCTTCGAGGTACGCCGAGACCAAGACCAAGAAGCGAGCAAGAAGAAATCAGCTGGTTTACACAAGCTAGTCAAACAGATATTGGATATTGAATATGCCGGATTTCAAGCCTGGCCTTGAAGAACTAGACGCGAGAGATCAAAAACTACTAGTTTTCTACGCTCGCACTATCAATATTGGATATTGGATATTGAAGGTGTTTTCAAACCCTGCAGTTACGTAGGGGTAATTATAGTACGGATGATGTAAATGCTCGATGTATTTGTCTAGCATGTTACATTCTTATAGATAGACACAAACTAAAAGAGGGTTATCTTATACTTTTGTACTAAACTATGTGTGGCTTAAGTAACATCCTGGATATGGTTTGCGCGAATGAAGGATTATTCGGTATATGAGAGCGACTAACATAAATTCCGACACCTGAAGCCTGCTCACTAGTTGCTGACTTTTACTGAGTAAGGTTATCGCTTAACCTAACAGCCTTATTAGGTGAGAACACTCATCATATGGATGTGTATCTAGTCACCTTTTGAAGAGTAATAATTGGAGGATAGACAGTAGTGATATGGCCATCTGCCACAACCTATATCTGTGCTGCAAAGCCATTTTCACATGTATTCTGAAAAAGTAAGAGACAATGATTTGTCTCAACATTGCAGGCACTACCTTAGATTAGTGGTGTCACATTTCTTATAATATGGAATTGACGTTTTGGACATCCAAACTGTGCAACTGAAAACGAGGGGCTAACGTTGGTATTTCATATGATTAACGGTTTCATACTGTTACTGTCATAATAAACCTAGGTTCACCAATTATAGGTGTGGAAATTCGTTGGTTTCACCTAGGCAATCATGATTACCTAAGTGAAACCAACAAATTTTAAATACTGCAGTATTAACATATAGCTTGAGATTACTGTGTGATTGTCCAATGCCTTACATCTCTTATCGGTATATCAATGTGGAAAGTACCAGGATGACAAGTAGCTAAATACGGAGGAAAGTAGTCAGAATGACGAAGTAGCGAACAGAAAACAAGAAGAAATGAAACAGTAATTGAATTTTGCGTGGTAATTAAGATGAGGGTTGTATGTCGATACACCTATGTCACAAGTTGGTCCTGAGCCGTATGAACTAAAATCTCCGACCACTGGTTTTCTTTCCGTTGTCACAGACTCGGACCAGGAAGTGTGGCTTCGCCTACTCGAGACCAAAAGTCAGGCACTAACTCCATCTTTTAGTCCTGCCCTCTCTAACCATTTTTTAGGCCAAACCTGCTTCAGCCAACATTTTGCAATGAAGCAAACGGGGATGTGACATGCATAGTTCATATCCCAGCCACCTGAGTCAATGAAGGTTCATTACTTCATCAAACCACTTTCCTCTTCCCCTAAAACTGTGTACCTAATGTCTACACTACCGACATAGTAGCACTATGACACATGGCCTATGCTATGAAGATAACGGTGGTTGTATGTCATAAGTATGAGTGTCACAAAAGAATGCCTATGCGTCTGTGATGAATAAATACTATTCTATTATATTATTCCGATTCGGATTGTCATGACTACTATTGTTTTGTTTTTCCGACTACACGTTTAAAATTAATCTAAGTCAGCGAAAACCTAAAATCATTCGGAACATCTTAGATATATTCAATATCATATCTTTGTACAAAGCATGCCTATTCATAGGGAAATATTCTGAAATTCACTCCTTATGGGTCATTGCCGTAACAGTATGAAGTAATATCTGTTGTTTAAATTCATAACAACTTAACATATCGCTGAGCTATTTCTGTACATCGCGTGGTTAATACCTAAGTCATTCCCAGCTGGTCTTTCAAAAATGTTTCAATGCAGTACACGTATTATGAGTTAGTATAAACTGATTCATCTCTCTACCCTGTTTATGTTGGGCATACTTTTCAGGATTTTTTGAGGCTAGCTACTTATTTGTTATGTCTGATAAAGAAGCAGGCGGTGTTTCATTTTGTAGACAAGTGTGATCTATTTGTGAATACTCAGAAACTAAGAAGAGTTGATCGGAATAACACAAATACTACTTAAATGGGAGATTAATTCGAAAGAGGGAATAATGGTTCATGGGAATGCAAAATAAAAGGGCTGTAAAAGTTTGTCATCATGACTATCAACATAGGACCAGGCATTACTGCGTAACAGTCCGAGTTGCCACAGCTCATATCAGTACATCAGGTAAAACCGCAGTGAGGTGCAAGATGAAGAGTAGAAGTTTCTAACCATATGCAATTTTAGAAAAAGATAACTGCAGTATTTCTTTGTTCATTTACCAACACATAAACCCAGTAGTAGATAAAATTCAGTTTGCTTATGAGCAAGGTGGATTAGCTGTGTTGGATTATCAAGTTAAACGGAGAACACATGGTTTGGGTATTACTGTGTACAGGAAATAACTGGACTCTAACAGGCACTTGGACAACTTCAGTACTTAATTGTCCCTTGAATCTAGCCGGTCTCAGCTAAAAGAGCACATTATGTGTACTTTACTGAATATTTTGGTCAATGCAGCATCCTCTACTGTAAGTGGGATTGTTTGTGATGAAGGTATAAGCCCATACACAATAAGTGTATTTCATAGCCTAATACAACCTGCACCTGGTGAGTTGCTATAAAATAAATTAGACATGTCAGATGAACCCTCTGTATTTATCTGGAGGATTTAGAAAACTGTGATCTAGAATTCACATATATGGGTCCTAGTAAAACTTTGTAAATAGGACATAGATATGTACTGTTAGCCCCAATTTTAACACACCTTTAAACTTTTACGAGTTAGCCAAATAGAATAGTGTGGCCATAGTTTCCTAAGAAAACTATCTCCCTGGTCTAATTACGTGACTGCTGTTATAAAATTCACCTGACTTCCATAGCAGGGAACGGTGATAAGTTGATTTTTCCGCTTGCATGGTATCGCACAAATGGTAATGAAATCTTATCTCATCTCTGTGGTTTACATTGTCTTATTTTTTGTAAGGTGTATCGCAATTTAATATTGGTGTCTGCAGATCTGATCTATTCGAATCGGTTGCCTAAGTTAATTCTGCAATCTGAAACCAGGCTCGTTGTATCAGAATATTTCACTTCGATCTAAAGTGCATGAAACGCAAGTTCCGTTGAAGTATGTGGGTACTAATAATGACAGCTGTTACATCTCAAGAACCCGCATTTAGGATTTCGATGTAGTCCCGCTATTATTATTATTATTATTATTAGTCCCTTGGGTTCCTAGTGGAACATAGGGCTTCAGCAGCACGCCTCCAGTGACCTCTGTTCTCTGAGATCTTTTGAACCTGGTCCCACGACAGCCCAGAAGCTCTCATTTCCTGCTCGCACGACCTCCTCCATGTCACCCTCGGACGTCCAACTCGTCGCTTCCCATGGGGATTCCACTCGAGGGCCTGACGCGTGATGTCCTCCGTCGGCCTTCTCAGTGCATGGCCAATCCATCTCCACTTCTTCCTGCATATTTGTTGCGTGATAGGTTCTTGGTTGGTTCGTTCCCAGAGTTCCTTGTTGCTTATTTTTTCTGGCCATCTGATCTTCAGCAGCGAGCGTAAGCAGTTGTTGATGAATGTCTGTAGTTTATTGGAAATACCTTTCGTGACGCGCCAAGTCTCTGAGCCATACAAGAGCACTGACTTGACGTTGGTGTTGAAAATCCGTATCTTGTTCCGCATGCTGAGTGCAGAAGATCTCCACACTGGTTTCAGGCTAATGAACGCCTGTCTTGCTTTTCCGATTCTGACTTTGACGTCCTCGTCCGTCCCGCCTGTAGTTGAAACAGTGCTTCCTAGATAAGTGAAGGAGGTTACTTCCTTTAAGTTTCTCCCGTTGACGGTGATTGGAGTTTGTTGTTGTTGTTGTTGATGGTGGTGGTGCGGTATCTTCATCACTTCTGTCTTCTCTATATTCACCTGAAGTCCCGTCTTCGCTGCCTCTTCTATCAACTTGTTAGTTTTTGCCTGCAGATCTTCAAGTTTATGTGACATTAGGCATAAGTCATCGGCGAAATCCAAGTCTTCTAGGTTCTTTTCCGTCGTCCAGTGTATCCCCCTCTTCTCGCTGCCTACTGTTTGCTGCATGATCCAGTCCACCACAATCAAGAATATCATGGGGGATAGTAGGCAACCTTGTTTCACTCCTGTCTTCACTTCAAAGGCATCACTGAGCTTCCCATTGTGGATTACTTGGCATGTAGCATCTTCATATAGTTGTTGAATGAGGCGGATAAAGGTTTGCGGTACTCCGTAGTATTGAAGCAGTTTCCAAATTACTTCTCGGTCGACGCTGTCAAAGGCCTTCTCAAAGTCGATGAAGTTGAGGTGGAGAGGTGATTGCCATTCTATGCTCTGTTCTATGATGATACGAAGCGTTGCAATTTGGTCTGCACATGATTTGTACTTCCTGAAGCCTGCCTGTTCCGGTCGTAGTTTTGAATCCAGTGCATCCCTTAGCCTCTCCAGGATGATGCGGCTTAATATTTTACTTGGGGTGGACAGGAGAGTGATTCCGCGCCAGTTCTTGCAAGCACTGAGGTCTCCCTTCTTCGGCAGTTTGACAAGGTAACCCTTCTTCCAATCGTCAGGTACCTTCTCTTCCTTCCACACCTTCTGCAATAGTGGTGTGAGCATGGCCGCTGTTGTCTCTGCATCTGTTTTCAGTGCTTCTGGCGGTATTCCATCTGGTCCTGCTGCTTTCCCGCATTTCAGTAGCTTTATGGCGTTCAGGACTTCCATTTTCGTTGGGGGATTAATGTTCACTTGTAGTTCAGCGGCTGCAGGTGGTATTTCTGGACGAAGTGCAGGTGGTGGTCGATTCAAGAGCTTCTTGAAGTGGTTGGCCCATTGTTTCCTCTGTTTCTCTTCTTTCGTAATTAAATTTCCTTCTTCATCTTTTATTGGTTTCATCTGTGTTGGTCTATTCCCTGATAGCAACCTGGTTATTTGATACAATGTCGTCAGGTCTCTCTTACCTGCAGCCTGTTCTGCTTCACTTGCCAGTGTTTCGTAGAAGTGTCTTTTGTCTTTGCGTGCACTCTTCTTCACTTCTTTGTCCAGTGTTTTATACATTGTGCTCAGTTCCTCTTGTCGTTGAGCATCCTTGCACTGGTTTATCTTCTGCTTCACCATCCTCCTCTCCTCTATCAGCTTCCAGGTATCCGTCGAGATCCATTCCTTGTCTTCTTTCTTCTTCCTTCCTAATACTGTTGTGCAGGTTTCTTTCCACATAGCTTTCAAAGACTTCCAGTGTTCTTCCACACAGGTTTCTTCAGGGATGTCCCTCGACGTCTCCCATTTTGTCTTGATGGCTGCCATGAAGATCTCCTTTGTAGTTTCATCCTTCAGTTTCCGAGTGTTGTACTTGGGTTGAGGTCTATCACCAGCTTCCTTGAAGGCTTTTAACTTGATTTGGAAGGTTCCTTGCACTAGGTAGTGGTCTGAACCTACATCTGCTCCTCTTCTTGACCTTGTGTTAAGTAGACTGCGTCTCCATTTTCTTGAGATTGAGATAAAGTCGATTTGATTTTTAGTGTGTCCATCTGGTGAAATCCATGTCGCTTTGTGGATATCTTTGTGCCTGAACACACTGCCTCCAATCACCAAATCGTTGAATGCGCAGAATTCTGCAAACAATTCTCCATTCTCATTCATTTCACCTAGTGCCTCTCGACCCATGGTTAGTTCTCTTCCCGTGTTGTCCCCTCCCAGTTTGGCATTCATGTCGCCCATTAGAATTTTGATATCGCCAACTGACGTCTTGTCCAGTGTTGATTGAAGTTGTCTGTAGAATTCCTCCTTTTTCTCTTGCTCTGCATTATTTGTAGGTGCATAACATTGTATGATTGTGACCTTTCTTCCTTTTGAGTTGAATCTTGCTGTCATGATCCTGGAGGAGATTGGTTCCCACTGCATGAGAGCCTTCGATGCTCTTGAGGACATCATGATAGCCACTCCCTCAGTGTGCTCGTGGTTGGCGTCTGGGTGACCGGAGTAGATTATTGATTCTCCAGTTGACAGTTTGGAGAGTCCACTCCCATTCCATCTGCTTTCGCAAATCCCAAGCACTTCGATGTTATACCTTCTCATCTCCTTTGCAATCTGGGCTGCCTTACTGGGTTCAAACATCGTGCGGACATTCCATGTCCCCACGTTTACTTTCGCTTTCATCGAGAGAAGACACATCGGCCAATTGGCTTCCCGAAGGCTTTCACCAACTGGCGTCATTTCGCCTCTCCGATTCCAGCGGGGAATAAGTTTGTTTTCATTTTTTATATTTTGTTTGTGCTTTGAAGTTTCTTTAGCGGTTAGATTTGTTTTACGGGGTAGGGTTGCTAGCCCTATGCCCAACCTTCCCTCTTTACCCGGGCTTAGGACCGGCTAGTAACTAGTAAACTAGTTAACCAGGCGAGGTTATGTAGTCCCGCTAGTGGATTCTTAATCAGAGAATCCGACGATCGCATTTTTTCTATTCCGCAGTCAGCCCGATGACTAACAAGATCGCAGTACCCCAAAAGAGACTGACGACTTTTCTCACCTAAACTTAGCACAGCAGCGATTATACAGTCATATAGTGTGTACCTAATATAATCAGTGTCACAAACTACCGAAATTTTCGGACCTGAATTTGAAGTTACGGCAGTGCTAAGAATGCATCCTGAGTTGCTTGAGGGCTCCAAAATCCATACTTTAGTCGTATCCTTTCCTAAGTGGTTTGTTTATCAAAGATAAATCAGTCACTGAGTTTGTAAATGTGCTCTGACTAAAGTAGCGTGAACTCGTATTATGCTTTTCAAATGACTGTTTACATCGAAATTAATGAGTCGGATAAGGTAGGAGAGATCCAAGTGTTCATATAAAGACATTCTGTGAATCTGCCGCCTGCTAATCTGAGCTAAGTAGGCTGCGCGACGAGTTAAGGTGTTAGAAGTCAATTGTAAATTCTTAGTAAAACCCTCAAAATTAACTGCAGTCCCTGTACGAACTATCGTTTATCACTACCTTTACTATTGTGTCCTTTCACTGTTGTTGGCGTTCTTATACATATTTGCAACCTAAATAGTAGCAATTTTGTACAAGGTTCCGTGTTGTTATGCTGGCAGAGGGGTTTTCGAGTTTCATGTTATGTAAAAAGCACTGATAACACCTCTGTGGGATGCATTTTTCTAACGATCATTCTTCGCTAAATTTGCCATCTAGACGGACTCGTATTACTTTGACAGTGATAAGTTACCTGTGTTTCACATAGACACTATCTTAAGCTCTCCTGTAAATTACCTCACCACCCGATGTGGAAATCGACAGAAAAGTAGCCACCCCGTCTCATTTTGACTGTCAGTATGATATCTTTCCCATCGCACGTGCTTTAGGTGACTTATCGACAATATCTTCGTATGAAATCACCAGTCGCTAACTTAAGTGGTTCGATCTTTCCCCGTATTACCTACTTGAACAAACCTCACATCAATGATACGTGACTCATAGTCGAAGGGTTCTTTAGATACGGTTCAACTCTGAATGATATCAGATGTGTCTTGATGCAAAGAATCACAATGGGAACTTGTTCAGGCCAATATTATTGAATAACTATAGCGCTACACGATATTTGATTTTATAAGTATTATTTATACTAGTTTATAACTGAAGCCACTGACTGGATTTGATCGTGTATTTTCCTACTGTTGTCATACAATGACCAGCAGTCCTGTCTTTTAATTGCAATGTACGAATTTCATGTTATGCTTGTTTTAAATTTCAGAATTTTTACTCAAGATGACTTATCATGAAATGTACAGAAGTACTACACTGGGGACTACTCTACGAGAAGCCCTAGATGAGATGCTGGCTCATAATTTATTGCAGCCTGGTATGGATCATAAAGTATATATAAATCCGTTAAAAATTAAAATTATCATTTTAGGTAATGCAAAAATTTGACCAGTGTATTAGTAATGCTTTGGCAAAACGTGTTAAGAACCGTCTTTCTATTCGCGGTCATTTAAATACCTACAGAAACTGTGACAATGTATGGACATTAGTAATGAACGATGTAGAAATAAAGGACTCATCCGCTATCATGACAGTTCATAAGGTAAGCTTCAGTCGAGTTTCTTCATCATTGTTGGTATGCAAATATGATTGGTTGTCACATCTTAGTCATAATAGATAGGCAGCATAGTGTATAGATTCTTATTTCTCTGCGCTGACTGTCATTTATGCCGTCAGCCTTTTTTATTTCTTGTTATAGCGCAGTCACTTTCTGTTTCGCCAGGTTACATTAACCAATGCTACTGCTACAAATAAAGATATACAATCCATACAATGATCCACTTTGATTGTCGATATCTTGTTAAATGGCGTAGCAGCATAGATATGGGTTAAGGCTTGCATTTTATAATGCTAAAAACCATCTTCAGGAGAATGTGCAAGGTATTTCATTGATAACATACGTGTTTTCCAAATATCTTTTTTTTGTGTTGTCAGATTAAAATTGTTGCGTGTGAAGGAAAGAATGCGAAGCCAGCCCCTGCAAAAATAGCCACCTCTTCAGCTAACGATCGTTTGAGAACGGGCGTTAATGCCGGTGGGGAAGATAACGAACAACGTGAAGCCTTTGGTTCCGGAGACGAGATGGAATAAATTCCAATGGCTACCAGTTGAATAAAAAAGTTGTACAAAAGAATTTTCTTTTTATATTAAACGAATCATTAGAACAAACCAATTCTGGATATCCCTACATGTGAAAAGAGCTTTAAAGAATTTACTAAACAGATAATATAGTCAGTAAAAGTATCCTCGTCTCTATGAGTAATATAAGTATGAGAAAATATCCACTCCAGATTATTGGAATTAGACCTGATAGGTAGAGGAGGCAACTGAACCACCATGACCAGTCCAGTCGGCATGAACGAATGTACCTGGATTATTAGTTTTTTCAAATTGATGAGCGCCAAAGTAATCACGCTGAGCCTGAAATTGAAAATAATTGGGTGGACCTGTTAGAGGTTTGTATTCAGAAAAAGCTTTATGCAGCACACTAGTAGATATAAGAAAATGGGAACCTAGGGGCATCCGAAAACGGAACGGCACATTCATCCTGTGCAAAAAAAATTCTAGTCATGACAGAATAATATAAAAACGGAACACAATAGTGAAACCGAATGGGTCAGGAGGTCTGGTACCTTCTACGTGTCACCACAATAGCCTTGTATTGCGACATTTTGGTCGCGTACATTACACTAAGCTTCTTCTTAAAAATAGTCGTTTAAACACGGACTTACTTGAAGTAAGTTAGCAGGTAGACATGGGCATGTTATTCCATCGTAAAATGTTAGTGCAGAGCTGAAAGCAGGCGTGGGAATTCCGTTCAGGGCTGCATGAGAAACAACCTGACGCCATCCATTCTACACGAAAATTTATAAAAAATATACATGGATTTACTATAATGTTAACATGGATATTAAATAGCTGCCAACATACATACTTTTCAAGTACAACGAAAAATAAGATATTAACAATTTGTTACCACTTGCGGTTTGGGGATAGTTCTAAAGAGTAAGCTCTATTAGAAACGGAATGGAAATGCATTGACCAACCACGCAGTACAGCAGGCAAGAAACCACACCTGTCGTATGACAATTACTGTGACTGCCTGGCCATACTAAGATCGGTAGGCAGAGAAGGACTCGAACCAATGACCCATTGGATGTTGAGTGTGTAGACCAATGAGCCGCAGCTCCACAAACGGAACATGGACCACCGCTCTTATAAATGTACACAATAATTGAGGAAGAACATTGCCAACATTTCGTTCAGATGGCTGTTGGATCGGTTCATCATGAACAAAGGATCAAAAAGACCCAGATCCACACACAGAATAAGACGCAAAAATCACAGATTGACTAAATTTAAGGATCACTTTATGTCGTTCAGTATCTACTTTTCTAGGCATCATGAGGCGAAGCACACTCAGCCACCTTGCGCACATACGTGCGGTAGGCAATGAGCGATACCTATTTTAGTGAGGGCTAGTGATACTACGTGGTAAATGGAGCGGGATTCAAACCCGTGACAGCCCTACGAAGGCACCGTAGAGCCCCAACTTAGTTTTTCTAGTACATAAACCTACACTACCTATGTGCAGTCAGTTACATGGTTAGATCGTTCTGACGTTCCTCTCATACTACTATAATCTCAGTATAGTACGCGAGGTGTGTATGCATCCATGAGACCACTGACTATTGTTCTAAATCGTGTGGGGAAATGCAGACTATTTATTTGAAGTCTGCGTGACAGCCGAGATCGATGGTTGGTGACTTAATGGCATGACTCAGAGTCGGTTGCATTGGCGAGGATCCACCTACACTTTGTGTTCATCGTAACTTTTTTCATATTGGTCTTACCAGTTTATTTCATCACATGACTTTCTACTACTTTTATTACACTGATTCGATTTCTTTGTCTTGTCTAATAGACTTATTCTTTGATGTGCTGATATGACGTGCGATTAATTGAAAGTGCACTATTGCGCAGTACATTCAGTCATCTTCGATGAGGAAATCGACTAGTACTTATGCATATCATAGTGATTATCGTTTTCGCTAGACTTGTTTAAAGTGTCTAATCAGAAACTAAATGATGGAACAATAGTGTTTTCAGTTGCATTACTTAATACAGTCCCACTTTAGCCTTACACCAATCAAACTAAACATAGTGAAGATTGTTCGTGTTCGCAATTTGAACAAGCTTACTGTTTTTTTACAACCACGATGTACGAGGTATAATAAATAATCAGTGCTGAAATTGTTGAAGATCACGTTAGGTTTGATTCGATCGTTTTCAGTGTAAGATACTGTTACATCATAATCGATTAGGTGGTTGACACATTACGAGACGACAATGAATACACAATGATATTGCGCAACAAAGTGCATGAATGCGTTCATAAACAATGATAATCTTGACATGAAAAAGTTTGATATTACTCTACTAACAAAACATGAATTTGTTCAACTGCTTAGCGAATTATTTGTCCGCTATGAAAAACGTGATTTTTGGGTGAATTCTTATAGGTGTTATGCATTGCGTGTAATAACTTACTTGACAATCATCAATAATTTGTTTGAAGAAAGGATCTAGAAGTAGATTGCTAAGGGTGGGATTTCGATCATACGCTTCTTTTATATTTCCAAGGAATTTACTGTAAAAAAAACCCAAGAAAAAGTTTAAATTACGTGCACCAATTGCACATCATTAATAGGGTATGAAGAATAGACAGATAAACAACATTTTTCAGTCTTACACTTTGACAAAATTTTAAAGAAATGTCTATAACAAAACTCTGCTAGTTTGTAAGAAAAATACAACTTGGAAATCATGAATAATTTGATGTACTCCCCTATGATGGCTAACCTACGACTACCTGCTTCAATCAAAGTGAAGGGAGATTCGAACTTTTGATTTCACAGTACAGGTTCAAACTATCAGATTACTTCAAACAGAGGTAAAACACCACTGCAATGAAATAGTGGTTGTCAGTCTGTACCGTGTAGAGAAACTGTTGCCAGGATACTGGAAGTCTTCCAAATAAGATCACAGCAAGAAACATGGTTTTTCAATTCGCTGGTCTGCACTCTGTAATACAATAGAATCGCTCTCAGATTCGGCTGACGAGAATTAGTCCTTACTTTTAATCTCAATAGAACTAACAAACTGGAGTTTACAAAACAACTTCGAAAGATTTACCTTTCCCAAGTAAATCATTAAAGTGATGCTTACAGCAGTGTTCTATCCTGTTCCACGGGTGTGAGACATGGCCATTAAAAGTAGACATGAAGCGGTTGCAGGGTTTTGACCATAGATATCTTCGTAGCATTGCTCGTGTATGGTGAAATCACCGTAAGAGCGATGTTGAAGTCAGGCGAAACGTTGATGAGGTTGTGTTTCTTAGTCGACTGAGATGGTTTGGATATGCACTGTACATACCGAGCCATACCAGGAGAAGTTGGATTAGGTTGGGAGAGGGTTCAGGGTGGCCACATCAAGACATGGCACCAGTCGATAATTGTTGGTCTGAGTCGTGTGGGACGATGCAGACAACCTGGTTTGGGTTCCCGAAACGAAAGAATATAGTGGTCGAGGATTGTTAGTGATATGGTTGAAAATCGATCACAATGGCCCAGATACATTCACTCCTTAACATCTAAAGCCTGAATGTTCGCACTAACCTTTATCTTCAGATTGTTTATTCACTCATACTACTTTATCTACTTTGATATCACTCTTTGTGTACTACTGTGAAGTGTGGCAAATTGAGTCGAAGGACTCCTGTGCGAGGATGTACGTTGATTTTGTCAGTGTCCGTCCATAGCAGCATTTTTACCACAATCCTATAGCCCATATCACCAGTAATGCAATAAAATCCTTTGTCATTAACACTTAACTTCAAGAAGAGATAACAGTCTTGCAAAATGTAATCAGAAAACAGACTATCTCTAAAATATTATAGTTTTGCAGAGTACATTAAATATAACTTTCCTACACGCCTACCAGAGTAATTCATAGGATGGGATAAGGTTACATAAGTTATTCACGGTAATGGGATATGTGGAAATAAAAATGACAGCGACAAGAAGTAGGACCTTTGATTCACAGACCACATAACAAACGTGTTGTCTCTTGGTTTCCGGTAGTTCTTTAGCTGATACCACTTCGTGATAAACACCATCTCCAAATAGACCGAATCCCCATAAACAACTTGTTCCTTGATTACAAAATAAACTGAAGTATTCCTATGTCTACGTCTTCAACCACTTTCATAAGATAAATTAAAAGTTAGTTTTGTGATACATTTTCACAAGATGTTAAGAAGCAAGCGACGACGATCGTTTGTCATCTATACGTAATGAATTTTTGAAAATCCAGTCGCACTTAAAACCACTCAGGTATATTCGTCTCACTAAATTCAGTGGTACAATTCAATCATACATATTCGTGCATTATATATATATATATATATATATATATATATATATATATATATATAAACTGGCAAACAGGATATGATTCAACCAATAGGAAAGTCAATGATACAACAATCCAAGGAAGATGCCAAGCACACGCCGTTTCGCCAAGAAATCCCGAATGACTCACGCAGAAATTCTTATTTCATTCTGAAGTTGTGTGAATAGATAATGAAAGCTTGAAAAAACTACACCGGCAAAACGGAATATGACGACTACTCCCTGTCATATACTCCTAATTTTGATTGACATTCGCCTATAACCTTAAAACAACTTTATGATTGCTGTTTGTATCCCCCTTGGCGCCGTTGCTAGCTTTTGTTTTTCTTATTGCTTCTGAAGGGTGAATTTTCGCTGATTGTTGACTCTTTAAACTTATCAGTGAAGTTAGTTTCCCAAAATCGTTTAGAATGCATACATTCAGCATCGTTTTTAACTGTTGGTTGAGACAGTAGAAGCCCCGCATTAACAATTCGTCTTCTTTTCTTGTCTTCGCGCGTCCGTGGCATTGTTCTTGTTGTGATTGATGTTTTGATTAGCGATTAAAATAGATTGTTGTGCGTTAGGTTTGTATAGCTCGTAGACTGCAAGGTTGCATTACCAGTCACAGCACCTTTATGGTGCTGGGAGTCAGCTTAAACGTATGGATTACAGTAAAGTAACCATTTTTTTTTGACTCCATAGTATATTTTCACTGCTTAGTGATTTATGCTTTTGTCTAAGGATTACACCACCACCCGATAGCTTTCTATACAGTGACATAAACACTTTTTAATAATGGAATATAGATTGTGTTTTTACATTGACAACAATTAACACAATTTATAAGCTCAAGGAATATTTACTTTTGTCAATCTATCAACCAGACGTTGTATCTATTTTTTGTCTGACCAGTCATTTTCATTCTTCACAAACAAATTTACGATGACACATTTTACACAAACTTTTCATTACACACCATATATATATATATATATATATATATATATATATATATATATATATATATATATATATAATGAGAATTTTCAGTCCTCATAAACAGTTCAGAATGCTTGTAAATATAGGATTCAGTTTAAATCAATTTCCACAAAAACGATAGCAGAGATGCTAGTTTTTGTTTCCGACATCAGATACGACAGAAACGCTAGTCTTTGCACTATATGGTTTGGAAAACTAATCATTTACTTGCACGAACCTGCTTTAAAATTCGTGCCAAAAAATAACACTTGATTTCTGAATCCAGGAAAAAATATAGAGTATAGACTAAAATGTAGTGGATTAAAGTTGGAAGTAGTGGGAAAGTTAATGAACCTCGACCTCTGAAACGAATTGCTGATAAGGGTATACAACAACAATACGGAGAAATTCAAGGGAATAAGCACAAGTTCGGACCACCTCTGGCGCTGTCGTGATGTTAATCCAACTAAACAACCTCCAGCGTGAGAAAGTCTGCCTTGCATCTGCGAAAACCGTACTGATGGCTCCCTGTTTATGCTTAGGTGTATTGACACATTTTAGAACGAAATGGAAATAGCCAGTTATTGAGTTTCATGTTTCAACATCAACTTTCGTGGATTCAATCTTTCTCACGTCTTACAGGCTTACAAAGTGTTCAGTGTTTGCTATTGTTAGAAGCAGAGAGATGTTAAACGAATGGTGTAGAGCCTTGGAATGAAAGATGGATATTTCGATTGAGTATTTTAGTATATTAGGACTTATTACATGGGATACAATGGACTGGATGAACTACTGGCTTCGAACACAATCAGGTATCTAAAGTTAAACATCAGTCGAAAAAACAGTATATCATAAATTAACTTGATACACACGTTTATGTACTAAGCTATGAACCACACTACCTACAGAAGTGTTTATGGTACTCGATCATATAGACTATAGTATGTGGAGCAGGCCATTAACCTGAAACCCACTAATTGAAAGTCAATTGCTTAAACTGATGGGGCACACAGACAGTTAAGAATAGAAACCGGTGGCAAACATGCTGAGTTTTATATTGTCTTTAGGCGACGGGGCATTCTATTAGACCAGTGCCGACACTTGCCATATTTATTGACATGAACCCGGCATTTGACTCTGTCGAACGTGAGGTGTTGTGGCAGTGTCTAACCGTGAAAGCAGTACCGAGAAAGTATATAACGCTAATCAAAGCTCTCCACTTGAACTCACACAACTGTGTAAAGGTTTATGAAGAGCTTTCATGTGGATTGATGACAACCGATGGTGTTCGTTAAAGATGTCCACTGTCAACGTTCCTGTTTAACGTCGTCATGGATGTACCACTGGACATAACCTCAAGTACGTTTGACTTCACGGGAATTGACCTACTCCCTGGAGGTCATCTCCCTGACTTGGAGCATACAGACGATGACCTCCTGCTACGTAAAGACGCTGACAAAATGTACGATCTTCTGGATGTATTGAGCAGAAATCTGAGTATGTTCTGCATGCATTTCGCAACTTTCAAATGCAAGACGGTGCTCCACGATGGGTCTCCTGCAAGCACTACAAGTTGAATAATAGAGAGTGAAGTGGCGGAATGTGTCGACCACTTTGCTTACTTGGAGAGTTTTGTCAGCCCGAACGGGGTGGTTGCTGACAAAATCTCAGCTCGGGTGCAGAAAGCTGGTTTGGCACTCACCAAGTTGCATCATTGGTGACGCAAACTGCCGAGATATCCGACTATTTATCAATGGACGAGTATGGTTCATTCCATTCTGCTGTACGTCTGTGAGACATGGCCGTTAAAGGTAGAAGACATGAAGCAATAACAGGTATCTTCGTAGCATTGCTCGAGTGGTGGAAACATCGAGTGTGTAATGTTGAGATTAGGTAGAGTGCACTATAGAAGTCGATTAGTGAGGTTGTAAACCATAGTCAACTGAAATGTACTGCAGAAGCCAAGCCACCACCTACCTCGATATGCCATACCAATGGAAGCTGGATTAGGTTGGAAAATGGTTCAGGGTGGTCACACCAAGATGCCGCAACAGTCCATGGAGTCCCTTATTGTTGGTCTGGATCATGTGGGGCGATGTAGACAACCTGGTAAGAGTCCTCGAGACGAAAGAAATCAGTGATTGAGGACTCTTGGTGACATGGCTGAAAATCGATCACAAGGGTGCATATGCATTTATCCCTTGACATCTTCGAAAGCTTGAATATTTGCACTAACCGTTATCGTCAACTTGTTTGTTCTCTCACACTACTTTATCTTTTTGATATCACTCCTTTTCTATTCACTCACTGTTTGCGTACTACTGTGGAGTATGGCGACTTGAGTCGATCCACCTGTGTGCAAGGTTCTGTGTTGGTTTTGTCACTCAGTCATTAGACCAGTGTATTTAAGAATGGCGCAATTGCGTCGTACATTGGAAGTGGTTAATATTCAAAGGTGAAGGGAATAGCATTGCGAAAGTCATTTATGTAAACCCGAATTCACAGTAATGTAAGGAAGGTATGTACATGTTGGCCTACAAACGTCACATCATTTCTTCCCAGTGATATGTCTAATCGATAATTGCTTCTGTCAGTCTGAAGCAAAGGTTTGATGGAGGACGCATAAGGATGGTATGTTCTTTTAATGTTTATCCACAATCGTATACACTACAATTTTCATTTTCTACGGATAGCGAATTATCATTTCCAATCAGAAACATCAGTCTTTTATCTAGTATTTCTTTTGTAACCTGAAAACTTCCAGTTTTTGCTACAATGGATTTCATCGTTTTACATTAAAAATGAGCAATACACTGTCAAACTGAAATGAGATGCTAACAAACTTTGCTTTCAAACGCCCAAACATAGTCATCATGTAGATCTAGGAATCCTCACATTTAACTAAATCCTTCAAACACAATGTTTCTTATTAGTTTTTAAGCGTTACGACATTTCTTTGTTTTACTTTCAGCTGTAGCGACCATTATTTCTATTTCAATAAACATGATTGGTGTTGGTTAAAGCAAGAAGATTACCTTAGGTTTGCGTAATAATTACACGTAATTCAAGATTTCAAAGTTGTACAACTAACGATGACCAATACTAACAAGACACACACACACACACACACACACACACACACACACACACACACACAAGGTCACAGCAAATCAATTTCAGTCGAAATACCAGTTAATTGAGTACACCCTGACGCTCATTTAGTATTGTAAGTAATGAAACTACTAACTAACTAATAAGAAAAAAAGTATTGAAAATGTGTTAAGCAACAATCATGGAACCAGATAGCACCAAGTAAATGGATGCATTGATTTTTTAAATGAAAATATACTTACTTTCCCTGTACAATTCAATTTTTCATCTGACGAATGCTGTTATAAAGTCATCAGTAGGACCTGTTTTGAACATGTTCACCTACCATTCTTAGAAAACCTACTCACATCCTTCCGATATCTTTTGTGTCAGATTTCTATCTATCGACTTGTTAACCCCCAACTTTTTCTCTCGGTCAAACAGTACACAGCTTTCTATATTGTTACAATCAGTCGATTATCATTTCAAAACTACATTAACCAGTGACGGTGTTTACAGTACACACAATTCATAGTGAAAATGAAATAAACCAACCTGCGTATGATACAGCCACCACGCCACATAAGAGCTATTGAACCAAGATCCAGGTTCCAACCAAAGCTGTGATGAGCGTGTTGCAAAAGCATAAATCCTTGAGCATAGGAAACGATTTTGGATGCATATAATGCCTGAAATAATTACAACAAGAAATATGTTGGGATTATGATATGCTAATCAACATCTGTAGCTCGTATTGGTAATTTCACTGTTATCTGGATTCCGCTTTTAGGCGTATAATGTCCACACTGCAAACACAAGCTTCATAGTAAGACTGATATTATTGTGTCAGCCTGTAGAAAATTAAGCTGAAGATGATTAGTTTTCTGAACAGCTGGCCTATAAGTCTTCTTGGATATTTTGAACCTCAAAGAAGGCAATCAATAACGCCAAAGTCGGAGAAATGACTTGCAGGTAGATTCTACTTATTTTCTTAAACTACTTAACACTAAACAATTATATAAACATACTAATGGAACGTCGTTCTAATATATGGACTGAATTATTCTTTGTCGCATAACAACTGAATAACTTTTACAGAATACAGTGGGAATATATGAGAAGCTTTCTGATCTACTACGCGGATGGTTTGCCAAAACAAGTTACCCAATAAGACAAGATTATAAAGTAACACATTGCATAAGTATTTGTGATGTACTTGAAATTCCTTCTACGAAAAAAGTGTGATTGTGTATTTTCCTGTGCTCTTTTAAATTTTCTTTTAGTTATTAGTTGTGCATAAAAATTTGAAGTAACAAAGATGAATGAGAACATGAATAATTTTACAATGAATGTCACCACATTAATTAAAAAACGAAACTGAGTGTTTAGAGGGTCTAATAAAGTATAACGAGCTATTTATTTTACTACTTTGATTACAATCGACTCGATATTGCAACAACAGACCTGTGTGAACGGTAAATATACAGACAAGACAATACCAACACAGGACCTGGGATTACTGCGTAACAGTCCTAGTTGCCATACCCCGTATCATTACTTCAAGCGAGAATTCACCAAGATGGAGGATAAAGAAATGGAGAAGAAAGCAGTCAAAAGTGGTACAAAGTCGTCAAAATACATCAAGGAAGAAGGAAAATACTGAAGTTTAGTAGGACGATTAAGACGAAGATAATATGTGCATACATCTGAGATCGGTTCTGAGCCACATCACTCACTGATTTTCGCTGTTACGTGGACTTTAATCAGGAAGTCTACACACACACACCCTCACACGACTTAAACCAACAGTCAAAGGTTTCATGGGCCGACACCATGTTTTAGTCAGGCCAACTATAACCATTTCACCGCACGAACCTACATCAGCTAAGAGTGTGTGACTAGGCATTCGTAACACATGTCCCAGCCACTTGAGTCTATGAAGGTTCACAAACTCATCAACTGACTATCATCTCCTCCATAAAACTCTACACCTGACTTCTACATTACCGACGTGGTGACAGTATGATACGGTCTATGCTACGAAAGCAATGGCGGTCGAACACCTGAAGTACTCTGTATTCCTGTACCTTAAATAGCCATTTCTCACACGCACATTGTAGAACAGGGCAAACTGCGACGCAGTCCACTCGACCCTCAATGGAAAATAAGATATCACGGCAGTGCAATAAATGCCGTAAGTTGGCGGAGGTCACGAAAGTTTTTTATATCCGTATAGAGATTCCGACAGTTACCAACCCAGCAGGACTGATCCAACTTCCCAGGTAAGTGAAGTGGTCAATGTGTTCAACCGCTTTACTCTCCATTCCATTGTGAGACAGGCCACTGCTAAATACCAGTCCTGAAACGACAACTTACATTTGGCTGGGAAAAAACCCATACCAAACATTCTCAAATTGTTACTCCATGTGTCTAGAAGACTACACATTTTCTCAGGACTTTCACCAGACAGAAATATGTTATCTGCATACTCTAGATCTACTATGGATTTTTATGTGATAAGACCAATCCCTGAAACGTCGGACGACAACAGACCTCCGTAAGTGCATCTATGATCAGGTCGAATAAAAGTGGAGAGAGTGGATATCCTTGATAAACACCACTAGACACACACAAATCACCTAGTAACTCACCATAGGCTCTGACACATGGGTGTTCGAATACAGAGCCTTCAACAGGGTGGTGTACTTAATCAATACCCTTTTAAGTTAAAGGCATTGATATCAGACTTCTCGACCAACGGAGTCAAATGTTGACTTCAGGTGGAGAAATACAGCCAGTATCAGGCGTCAATAAGTGTACCTGTGATCCAGAACTCGGCATAAGGTGAATTTCTGGTCGATACATCCACAACAAGGTCTGAAACCCGTCTGATTTCCGCGGGTTTGCCGGTCCCGAGCTCCACTTGGACGTCCGATAACTGTAGAGCCTAAAATCTCAGACACTTCGTCAGATTTATTCCCCTGTGATTATCGCAAAAGGATTTCTCCCACCTCCTTGAAAACTAGGACAATCGGTGATTGAGATTAGTTAGAGGTCATACCCGACTCACATATGTTAGCCAGTACTTCAAGTAAACCTAACCAATAATCCACAACCACCTTCATTAAATACCTTCAATGATGACCCGTCTGGCCCTGCCGCCCTTCGTCGTTTCAGATAACCTACAACTTTCTGACTTTTACAAGTGTTAAAGGCCCTATCTCAATGTTCTGTGCCGGATCGGAGTGGATAGCGGGCAACGGAATAGTAGCTGGAGGCCAGTTGAACTGTTTTCCAAAGTGATCCGCCCATCATTCCAGTCATCTCCCCTGCGAGTGAATTGCGGATCTCTCCTTCTTCACCACAGTTTGACTAACCAACGACTATTTTGCTCTAGTTTCACTTATAAGCCTAAGTAGCTTGCAGCTGACACCTATCCCCATTTACTTTTTTATCTCTTTAGCCTTTGCTACCCAAGCATTGCGTAGACTGTTTTTCAGCCTAACTGGAGTTGCTTCCGCTCTTCATTGTGCTTGCAGTCTACACAAACACGTTCACACACAACCATTAGTTCAGAAGCTGCTCAAATTCAGTGGCCATATCTAACCACATCTGAGAGTCAGTTTGAATCTGAAGATGGAGTCAGAACTCTTCAGGATTAATGTTGTTCTGTTCCGATACGAGTGGTAAGATTGATCCGAGCCATTTAAACTATTTTTTGACCAATGAGATGCTAATTATCGACGGTAGCCTTAGATGACCAACTGAATGATTAACTGACACAAACAACGTAGAACCTTGCATACAGGTGCATCGAATCAAGCTGCCACACTTCACAGTAGTAGCTTTAAATTGATCGTGAAAGCTCTGGTGAATTCCTATTTTAATTTTCTTGAAATCTAGATTACCTTTATTACTGTGTAAGCTTTCTCTTCGGAAAAACCTCACTGTCGCAGATGGCTACGAAAATTACTAATCAGGTTTAAAGTCTTCAGAAATTTTGTTCAAGGTTGTTCAGTCATATGTCGACGCTAAGATAAAAAAAAATCTAAAAATAACCTTCGGTAATTTAAGCTGACCAGTTTAGTTGAACAAGCAGTAGTGACCAATCAGTGTTACTGAACAAAAGAGTAGTGAAAGCATTAAGTTACTTAACCTACAAAATAACAGACTACAGTTTAACAACAGTCTATATCCTTTACCCACATACATGAAGTCCTACATTTGTACTGCTCATACGGTGACCCTGGGACAGTGAAACATCAACAGCTATACCCATAAAAATTAGTTTATTTCAGCCAATGTAGATGAGTATAGCTTGTATATGTGCTAATTCAATTCACCACAAAGTTTACAAACAGACAAAGAATATCCTAGGTTAGAAGTTCAAGTAAAACAGATTTCACGAGGTAATGAATAGGAAATACACCTTTCGTAATAATTCTTAGCCATGTTAGTGGTAGTTTCCTAGAAAAAAGTTCATCATCTTGATGATATATGTTCTACTAATCTACTACCTTCATAAACTCACTAAACTGGCAGATGGATTACATACGGTCACTTAAGTAATCTTAGCAATTTGGCAACCCCTTCTAGTGAATGTGTGTACTTAAGGCAAGAAAGTCGCTTCGAAATGAGCTGAATCAAAAAAACTCATTTCCAAATCTAACATCCCATTGCCAAATCTCAGTATCAGCTGTTTCCTTACATTTTATAAGTTCTCAAAATCCTGCAAACTTTCATATCTTCTAAATTCATGAGGAGTGTCAGTAGGAACCTGATACAGGGCTGTATTGTGTTACTTCCTCAATCTGAAAGAAAACTAATCCAGTGATTTGTGGAGTCACATGGGAAAATCAGTGGTGTTACAAAAATTAAATTCATTTTCCTTTAAGAAATATTACATACAATAAGTAAACCTACCTTCCATATATCATCTACAAGTTGTTTTGCCTCAGTTGGGTTAGAACAATGAAAAGGTTTATTCTTTGGCCCATGCAAAACACTAGATGCTTCTAGACGAACGGCCCTCATCGACGATAAAATGCGGGAAAATACAGCTTCAGCTATTTTTAAAAAAGTACAATACAAAAAGAAATGGATAAGAAGTACTAGAAATTTAATGGAAATGCCTAAATTAAATGTGAGTAGTCAGACATAAAGTAAGTTATCAGTACTGTTCATCAATCATATTACTGTAATATGAAAAGACAAAATGAAAAATTTGCTGGTCAACTGAAAAGGATACCCCAAAAAAAAAATCAGCTCAAAGAGACGGATTCCTTAAGCTATGAAAGTTAGTTCGCATGGATGAGTCGGATGAGCAGTTTGCCGCCATGCCATTCGATGACGATATGAAATGAGTTAACAGACAGAAATACTCAAAACCAACGACGCGAGCCCTTACAGATAGGAGTAATGATAATCAAAAAACTATATTTCTAAATTATACAATCCGATGCACATCGATAAATAACAGGATTTACGAACAGCGACCTCTCAACGCGATATAATGGTGAAACCAGAAGACAAAGAGATTGAAAGTATGTTTAATTCAACTGAACAGTATGATTATAGATGACACTTCAGTCGTTTATATATCTTTTCAAAAGTCTTGACCACGGTAAACAAAATAGCATATTAAAAGAGTAAAATGAACCCATCAGTGTTTAGTATCTTAAACTAGGGAAAAATAAGTAACATTGAGTGCGACAAAAAAGGCGCGAAAGTAAGGTTTAAATTTAAAAATGAAAATTTTGTTAGTTTCTTAGGGATCAGATATGTGTAACACATAGCGACCTTTAACATCGTATAGAGTAAGCGGTTACCTAGAGATGAACAGCGAAATAAAACCACAGTATTTATGTACAATGAATGTGAGAGAATCTACCATCTTTATAAAAGACATGCATACTGCATTACCGGCATGAATGTCAATATCCCACCTAGTTTATACCATCCTAAGACGCTTAATTTCCAGAAAATGGTGGATCCGATTTCCTTTCCGTTCGACAGTCCAATTACTGATTGTTAACCAAGTAAAATTTACGAGTTTTATAGTATAATTAAATGTGAGTATAAGTGAGTTCTAATTTCGTTTAGCTTCCTTTTACACAAAAACAAACGAACTGGTTCATAACCTTATAAACCAAAATAAGTGCCAAATGAAATGGATTTACGAAACTTCATGTATTTAACCAGCAATTTCTAATTCATAAAGTCACATGTAAAATTAACTGTGATTCACTAATTTATTGCCCCAAATAACAGTGATAATAATGATAATAAAATGTTCAGCGACCTATTACATAATGAATTTTAACTTAATGCTTCTATTACCACACTAGGAGAAATAATGACACAATAAACTTATACGAATATCATACGCAATGTCAACAAAATTGCCATCAAGTCGCACTATTTTCCAAGGGGAGACAGAGCTAGTAAATTTGACAGTTAAAAGACTTCTGTCAATCTGACCGTGGCCTAAATTACCATAAACTTGCAAAACTGGAAAATGAGCAAAGCTGTCAAAATTACCAAGATAAATCAGTATAAAAACAAAACGCAAGTGAAAACTCAACAAGTATGGTTTTGTTTTTGTTAAGAGTTGTGAACAGTCCAAAAACATAATTTGAGATAGTACACAACTGAAGTTGTCTATCGAAACTATGAAATCTCTACAACTTTCGCTATACGGAAATGTTTAAATAGGATTTAAATTCCACGTATGCAGTTGCTAAAACCAATTTCAGGATATGACTGACAACTGACTGACAATCAACGTAGAACCTCGCACACAGGTGGATCGACTCAAGATGCCACAGGTGGATAGAAAAGGAGTGATATCAAAAAAGATAAAGTAGTGTGAGAGAACAAACAAGTTGACGATAACGGTTAGTGCAAATATTCAAGCTTTCGAAGATGTCAAGGGATGAATACATATGCACCCTTGTGATCGATTTTCAGCCATGTCACCAAGAGTCCTCAATCACTGATTTCTTTCGTCTCGAGGACTCTTACCAGGTTGTCTACATCGCCCCACATGATCCAGACCAACAATAAGGGACTCCATGGACTGTTGCGGCATCTTGGTGTGGCCACCCTGAACCATTTCCCAACCTAATCCAGCTTCCATTGGTATGGCATATCGAGGTAGGTGGTGGCTCGGCTTTCGCAGTATATCTCAGTCGACTAAGGTTAAAAGCCTCACTAATCAACGTCTATATTCCCCTGTACCTGGCTTCAACACTGCTCATACAGTGATTCCACCACACGCGAGCAACGCAAAACGATCATTAATTAACTTTTCACTATTGAGTTTTTTCGACTATTTGCAATGACAAGAGTAATATTTGCATTTATTCATGAACTGAAAGATTTATATATTTCCAGCGAAAAAATATTTCACGTTGACATTCATCACGGACTGACATCAGTTGGAGAAAAATTCTTATTTAAATCTAGTAAAACGCCAGGCACACACATTAAAAGCGGATGCATATTGATGCATCTGATAAAACGAGCACTTTTGTATTGTACTTTTCGAGGAGTGACAAATCGATTCCTTAGCAAGTACATCCTTCTCTCTGTGGTCTGTAAACTATAATGGAGAGATATTCACAGTATACTTTCTGAGGTGGACTCAAAATGGACCACAACAGGTTGGAAAGATCTACACTATATCTTCCTCTAAACGGCTTACAGAGTACAACATCTGTATCCTTTTCACCTTTCTTCTAGTTGTTTAGTGAAACTTTAGATCCAGAAACAGAGGAATACTATTCATCGGTGTTACAGTATGGGATAAGACTCCTAAGATTATCACACGAAACCCTAAATCCCTGAAGCCTTACAAAATCAGTCGTTTTCCTGCCAAGTTTAGAGAAGGCACATGAACCTACGCGTAAATACTAGATTGATTGAAGAGATGAAATCAATAGGATATGCCCTTCTATAAAAGCCTAGAAATAGACAACGCTATATGAAAATGGTTGTATTTTGTTCATCATTTAACGTTGCAATACACTTCTTATCTTACTGCCTTTTCTACTAACCGAGGAACTGAGCGACCATCAATGATAGTATCTGAAGATTATTGCTCAAGTATCTACTCTCATATATATACCCAAGATATATCAGTCGGTACATAACAATGGCTCATAGCACAATTTAAAAATCCATTATTAAGCTGCTGCTAGAAGTTATGAAGTTTTTCAGTTTTATCAACTTTGGTGCTTCACTTAAAGTAGATTATATAGAACAAATTGGCAATTTTAATTTAGATGGTGTAATTAGAAGACGAAATTTATCTGAAAAAATTGATGTAATAGTCCAATACATTTCAACTAATCTGATCACAACCTTACTTGTCAAGTCAATTTATATTAGACTGAAGAGTTGGGAGACCAAGCACGATGATACGGTTTGTCCACTAAAAAGACTTAACAACGTACAAAATCATATCATCCTGATGTGTGAGAAAGAGAATAATAATCACGTGCCATTCTTAGAAGTGATCTTCAATCGACAAGAAAACGGTTTAATAAGACGGTCAGTCTACAGAAACCCAACACGAACAGGACAATATCTGAATATTTCGTTTTTATTCGCTCGAATACAAGAGAGGTCTAATAAAATGCCTGCAAATGAGATATGATGAACGAAGATGTCAGATTACTGACGAAAGCATTTATGGAAACCGGATATCCGTTGATGTCTATGAACCGTTGTGGAAGTCAAATAGCACCAAAGCCAACTCTATACACTGTTCCTAAGAAAAGTGACCATGTCTCTCCGCCAGACAGAGGGAAATTGAATAGTATGATTTTGAGACGTAAGCTGACATCAGCCATTAGCAAAACGTATCATGCAGTTGGTCTTATTATTATGGAAAAACCAAAGCACATGCTCCACCATAAGTCAGAACACTCTATCAATGATTACTTCACATCTCATGGGGTTAATCAGTTTACATGTGTGTGCGGTTACACATACATAGAGAGGAGTAATCGAGCCATCCAGTTGAGGGTAAGGAGAACATGTACTTGAATAGCATCAAAACAAATGGAGTGTGAAACTTTGATAGACGCAAGTGGGAGACGACCCCCTTCATCTACAGTTAAATATACTATAAAAACGGATGACAAAATTAATGTTCAAACAACTTTTACAGCTTTATGTAGAAACAGTCAGGGACGTACATTGAGATATCCCCAAGCGATAGCGATACACACATCGAAACCACCTTTATGTGTACAAAAGCAATTTAGTTTTACACTATACCTACCTTGGTAAACTTAATTTTCTTATCAAGATTAAGACCGACTATATCACCCTTCCTTTTTGTTCTCTTTTTTTAATTTTAATCCCCTATTATCTCAACTGTTTTATTTGTCCTCCTATACTTCGGTTTTATAGAAATTGACTTGGAAAGTAAGTGCGATCACGCTGCTCGAAATGTATTGCGCAAATACATCACAATGTCCAGATGAATTTCGTCTTCTGATTACACCATCTAAATTCATAAAAGGAAATAACTGACTAACTGGATGCTTCCATGAATAATGCCATAATGATATATGCTAGTCGGAGAGAAGCAATCCGGAGGAAGCTTTGCTCGACCTCGGTTTCGGGCTTTTTGGCACTCCTCAGCAAAGCATATCTGCAACCTCTACAGAACTGATGTCCTGTCTGAGATTCAAACCCATGTCACTCAGTGCTGCAGTCGGAGACGCCAGCACTGAGCTATTTGGGTCACAACTAACCTCCTGTAAGGCTAGGTTAGGCACACTGGTGGGTCAGTGGAGAGTATCCAGTTTTGATATTAATTGTCTGATTCAGAAAACATGATGTTACGAACAACAAACAGTTAAATTATTTACTTCATTCCAAAAATAGATCACGGATATGTAGACTATCGAAAAATACTGAAAAGTAACTCATGCCCAAAGATGTTTTTACAATACTCCTTTTATCATCTTGTTTTATCCATTATTCCTTTGAGATAATTGATGAAACAAACAGCCTATTTTAACAGATTGTTCAATTCTCTGTTTATATTTTCTTATCATTTAAATGAATGAATGATGTGAGGATGTATCATATGAAAAATCGCTAACACTCAATTAACTCACGCCTTTTTAGAACAATAAACACTCAACTACAAAACAGTATTCCAACAAATCAAATCACATTATTTTTGTACATGGAAGACTTCAGAAACAAATTAAATTACAAAGCACACATTTTTGTATAGTGCTTACAAGTTGAGTAAAGAGTAAAACAAATACTTTTAACCTAAACTTATTTCCATAAACTGAGAATAATATTCAACAAAGTATTTAGAAGAGAACAAAGTATGTTTAAATAATTAAGTCCCTTTCCTCTCTTTTCGTAAAATTCTCCACAAAAAAAAAAAACTAGCAAACAGTATAATTAACAAAATTAGGAATTGGAATTATTGTTATTATCATCATCAACAAGGTGTACACGCCCAAACTAATAGAATCACTCAGATAACGCTAGTGAGCAGTTGGCAAGATGAATAAAAGAAGGACACCATGGTTATGTGTTTGTAGATACATGTATACTCATCAAAGCTTACCGTTAGATTGATAGTTAACACAAGGATACAAAGAATCATAGGATGGTTATAAGTATTTGAAAAGATTTGAGTTTATTGTTCATTCACAACTAATACCAAGACCAGTTGAAAGCACAGTACCTATTCATGAAGTCCCATATCAGACAATTAGAATTATCATCCATTGGACATAATCAGTGAAATAAAGTTCTCAATGTTTAAAGTGGAGCAAAATTCGTCCCTAATGGCACATTGCCGAAGATAACCAGAAAACGTTCATCTAAAGACACTACTTTAGTGAATTCTTACATTCAGGCCAACGACTTAGTTTCAAACAACGATTTTGAACACTGAACATTATGGGAAAAGGCATTGGTACTATTCTTAAGGGTTGCCTAAACTAAACCAACAGATGCCTTAGTTATTATTTTGGTATGACGAGTTACATCCTAGTAGTCAAATCTATTTAACAGTTGGCCACTAACATATAAAACTTTCTTTGTGACAAATGCGCGTTTTAATTTCGACCGAAGAGTAAGCTTTATTGAAACTGTAGATAGTAGTGTTTACGAACGCCAACAAAAAAGGAACTTCAAAAGTTATAGTTGTATACCTTCACAAGTATTTCATACTCTACTATATAATGCCTGATTTGTTCGGATACACAATGATGTCGTACCAACAAATAAAATCCTTACACTGAACATTTTCTCTGTTTACTGTGAATGAAAGTAAGCCATTTGCATAATTCTTTCGAAAAAAACTGAGGCAGTGAACATATAATATTCAAGAGATTATAACTTCAGATTAGAAGACAATTTCGTCTACAACGTGAATTTGAATCTGCAACAAAATAGTCATCAGCCCGTAACATTTAAGCCAGAATAATTTTACGTCGAACGAAAATGCTTAAACAAAACCCACGTCCGAAGGAGCTCAATGTAAACAGTCAACCACTGGAACTCTTTTAATGGTTGTAATTTTCAACTGTCTCAAAATGTTTACTAAGATTTTGAACAACAGAAATTTCTACTGGGTGATGATTGAAGGTGAAATGGAAATTTGGACCGCAGCCGGATTTGAACCAGAGACCACCGGGTTTCCGGTCCGATGCTCTATCAACTGAGCTAAGAGGTCTGACTGCTGACCAGATTTTTATTTCATTTCAATAAACAAGTCTGCCAAACCACGGCTATCTCAAATAGTAAAAATGATAATCAACATGTGGTGGTCCCCTTTCTAATTCAGTTAGATTTGGATTGGGGTGAGAAGTGCTGACGAGGCGGACAGTGTGGATACGATCAAGCGGTAATAACGTGTCACGAATTCACATGGTAGCCAGGTAAAACCCATGGTGATTTAAGTGAAATAAAATAAATAAATCTGGTCAGCAGTCAGACCTCGTAGCTCAGCTGATAGAGCATCGGGCTAGAAACCCGATGGTCACTGGTTCGAGTCCGACTGCGGTCCAAATTTTCATTTTACCTTCAATCATCACCAAGTATAAATACTGCAAGTCTGCCGAACCACGCCTATCTCAAATCGTCAAAATGATAAACATAAACTTCCATATTAAAAGGAGCATAGCGTGATATATATACAACCATAAGTGGGAACAATTTACACTGATTATCTGCAAATTACACAACACTTCTGACAAAGAGGTGATTACGCAGCTGAAATCATAAAAACAAAGAAAGACATACAATTCATTACGACTCACCTATAAGTGTGACAGGCACCCCATGTTCAAGTCCACAGATTGCAGTCCACTTACCAGTACCTTTCTAAAAACAAAATTTACAGAAAACTTAATTGTTGAAGTGACAAAAAAATGATAAATTACAAAACCAGTAGTAGGCATTTTAAGACGTATACAAAATACTTAGTCACTTAGGGATTTAATTCTCCGTAGACCTTGAACGAAATTTGTCTCCCTAATAAGTTTATACACCTTAGTGGTGGTTTCAGCAGGAAAACTTGAAGAATTGTCAGCTTTTAATTCAGTAAAAACACTGGAGTAAGGTCATTTACATGATAGTTTAACATACAACGGAGTTTATTTGATTCAACCTCAAAACTAGAATATGAGGTAAGCAATGCTGTGAATAGGAAGCTTGAACGCAGCGCATTTTCTATGAATATAGTATCAAATACAAACTATCATGACAAGAGTGACAACTTCAATCGCTAGTAAAAACATCCTGATAATTGGTAGTTGACTCAACCAAATTGATGAATCGATCCTTTGTCCATAACTTCTACGCAAACATATATGTTAACTTAATGCACAAACTACTTTTATACTCGAAATGAGGTTTTTAAGAATGAATTATTGATTAGTTGGATTGTTATAACAAAGTTCATCATGTTATCCTAGTGTATTTTTCGTTGTATATGCTATGGTAAACACAGCAGCAACAATCTACTCGTTTGTAAGCAATACATGCAGCCAACTATAATAGAGATTGATTTTTCTGATAGTTTATTAATTCAATAGTTATAATCTTATGTTGTAAACAGTATACAAATTTAATTAGCTAAGTATACACATTTGTCTTTTATAATCACTTTGTACTTGAAAAAAAGTCCATGAAATAATACACTTATGCATTTCCTGCGTTTCATTGTGTGAAAAGTTGAATACCTATTGGTGAGTATACACACCTGAGCAATAAATTAATGCACATTTTTGATTATATCTGAATTACTACGATGTCAATAATTTTGTCAACCTGAACTTCTTTCTTTTGATACTTGATTATTGATACGTTTCAACCACAGGTGGTGGCGGTGACACAGATGAGGATTTCAAAGTCAGGATCGGAAAAGCAAGACAGGCCTCTATTAATCTGAAATCAGTGTGAAGATCTACTCCACTGCACTCAGAGTAAAGAAAAAGATCCGGACTTTCAACACTAATTCAGTCACGTCAGCGCTTCGATGTGATGGTTGAGAGACTTGGAGCGTTACGAAAAGCATTTCTAACAAACTGCAGACATACATCGACATCTGCCACCCACGCTTTGTACTGAAGGTCAGATGGCCAAAATGAGCAAGCAACAAGGAACTGTGGCTGACAACGAACCAACGAAGAATCTATCACTCAATAAATATGCAGAACAAGAAAGTGGAGATGGATCCGGCATACACTGAGAAGACCATTCGGCGACAACACGCGCCAAGCCAGGCCGTCGAGTGGAACCCAAAGGGAAAACGACTAGTTGGGTGTCCAAAGGTGACATGGAGGAAACCGTGTGAGGAAGAAATGAAAGCTTAGGGACAGTCGTGGAGCCAGGTTGAAAAGATTGCAGAGAACAGAGTGAAATGGAGACGTGCTACTGAAGCCCTATGTTCCACGAGGAACCCAAGGGACAAATAATAATGATAAACAAGTGACAGTGCTGTCTTACATAACTTCATGTAGACAGAACAATAATCTTAGTAAAAAAGTGAGTTTTAGTTAAACCTAGATCCGTATTTAAAAAGTTAGGAGATAATCAACAAGAACTTATGACAGGCGGTTTCTTATCATATATTTAGTAGAAAGAATTCTTCACAACTGTATAAAAAATATCGTGTCGACTTAAGTACTCGCGTTGAAATCAATTGTTTCCGTGGTAGGAAAGAACAATAGTCAAGTAATTTGGACGGTGAATAGCCCCCTACTAAACGGAAATACGATCACCAATTTTAGCCAAGTACTGATAAATGCAACGTTTTAAACTTCAGTGCCAGTCGAAGTCGACCGATCAACAAAACAAAAATAATATGCAAATCAGCAACCACGCACACGATCATGCATTAGGCGATGGACCACACCTATTGTCTGACGACCAACGGTACTACCTGGCTGTTCAGACCTCAGTGCCTGGAGGGGAGTTCCAAACTAGGACCCCCTGGATAAAAATCGAACACCTTGAGAGACGACCCAATCGATAAGTTGGCGAAAGATGAAACTGGTTTTGGATGTCTCTAAGTGATCGATAGCACACTTTTGATTCGATGTTCGTGACTGTTGGTATTAATCTGTGAGGTATATCAGTCAGCTAAACATTCATAATTATATACTACAGATGCTACCAAGGAGTTATCCGGTACCCCAAATTCAATTGTCATCCCTACAACTATACTAAATTACTAAGAGGATATCATATGAGGTAGTACAAACCGATACAGTCGACAGGAAACCATAATCTTTCGTTAATATCGTAAATCAACCAGAATGAAAAAAAAGTATCAAAAGTAGGAAAAAGAAAAACTTGGTTATAACCACTTACCTGCCCGGCAGTATCCATTATTTTATCAATTAAATGTGAACCATCTGATTCTTTATAAGCTAATATATGACCAGTTATTTCAATGAGATACGATTCCAATGGACCCTCATTCCATTCTTTAAAAACCTTATTTTCAGAGTGAGAAAGTGAATGCATAAAAGAAAATGATTAAGATATGTAAGACACGTTCACAGGGATAGAAATTGAAGGCATAAAGGAAAAACATATTTAAATGGATAAAAAGAAAACTCAACGACATGAACATAACTAAAACTACGCCGAAACCTTAGAGTGGTGGTGGACTTATTTGTTATACAGGCTGAGAAGTGAGTTTGTCCTGTACTATCAGAAAGATCAGTGAGACCACAAGCAGTTAATAAGCCAACTGAAATGCCACAAAAGTATTGAACCCTCAAGGGCAAAGTTATAAGTTACACTCCTATTTGTATTCAAGTATAAGAGCAGGAGGTGTTCATCGAAAATAACCAGGATCTTCAGTAATGCTACCTTCTTTCCGTTAAAAAAAACCGATTCTAAAATCCAAACAATTGTTGTACTAAGGATTTCTGTTACTGGTATTGTAGAAACTCGCACGCAATTGCATCGGTTAAACTTGCCACACTGCACAGTAGAATACAAAGAACAGGTGGATAGAAAAAGAGCAGTATAAAAATAGAAAGCGTGAGAGAACAAACGATTTTGAGATAAAGGTTTGTGCGAATATCCAAGCTTTAGAAGACATCAAAGAATGATACGTCTGCGCCATTGTAACCGATTTTCAGCCAATTCACCAGGAGTTTTCAATTACTGATTCCTATAGTCTCGAGGACCCCAGTGGAGTAATCTACATCTTTCTACACAGCTCCGATTAACAGTCGGGGAAATACATTGACTTGTAGAACGCCTTGGTTTGACCATCCTGAAACCCTCTTCGAATCTAACCCAGCTTTCCCTAGCATAGCACATCGAGGTAGGCGGTGAATCGGCATGCGCAACATGTTCGAGTCGCATCAGCCTATAATGTTTCATAACCTCATCAGTCGACTTGCCTATCTTGCCTAGTACCCTTCGCCTGACTTCAACATTCCTCACATAGTGATTCCACCAAACGAGAGTAACGCTACGAAGACATTTATGATGAAAGCCTCGTAACCACTTCATGTCTCCTACTTTTAACGGCCATGTCTCACAGCTGTATAAAAGGATAGAAAGGACTCCAGTGAGGCATACTCGTCGTTTGATAGATAGTCGGATACCTCGCCAGTTAGAGGTATAGATGATGCAAGTTGGCAAATATCGAAAGGGCCTTCTGTATCCGAGCGGAGATTTTGTCAGCAGTCAGCCGACATATTCAACCACTTCACTCCCTATCATCAAGAGAGGCCGAGCTCAAGCTCATGCCCTGCTACTTGGAAGTTAATCACCTTCTTCAAAGTATCACAGATTAACTGATTGCGACCTAACTTTAGTCAAATTTATTTCAAAACTAGAATGAATCCCTACCAGATAGTGAAGTCCATGCAAAACTATGATCGATTGGCGACATTCTCACTATGTTAAATCTACGTCACGTCTACTAGCCGCTATTCTGAGCTTACAAACACTAGCCACGTCAGAATGTTCTTCTGTTCTACTTGACAATGCATAAATGATAAAAATAAGTGGTAGTAAAGAACAAGATTAGAACGGCAAATGCAAAATGTGGAAGAAAGCCCTACAACAGGACAATACCGCCACCATTAATTTATCGCCTATAAGCTTCACATGACGTATTAAAGCAGACAGAGGTATATTAGTAGGTTTGTTAAGTAAGTTTTCTGAAAAAGAATCAAGAAGCACTTAACTTTTATCAGAATCACTCAGCACTTCCTATAGCGCTGATATCTTGCATTATATACGCCCTGGTTACCAAGATGCAATGAAACGAGACAAAAGTATTTGACAATTAGGAGTGCTTGAAAATGGGAACTGTAGTCAAGTAAAAATCCCATAGTTATGTCTCGGGAACAACCAATAACTTAAAAATTAATGTGAAATTTTTAGCAAAAAAATATTCAAACGAAACTTACTTTAGCTATTTCATCATTTGAGAAATGACCTAAGGAACGCATCAAATGATAAGCTTCAGCTGTTAACTGCATGTCACCATACTCAATACCATTATGAACCATTTTGACGAAATGTCCAGCACCACCAGCTCCCGTCTAGAAAGATATTAAGCAAATAATCCCATCTAATAGTGTATACCAAAGTTTTATGGCATAGTCAACGGCAAATTTTAGAGGTGAAAGATGCATTAGGAAACCCTATATTATGTTCTGCATAGCGGAGTTCATATATACAACTATGTGATCCCTCCACTAGCGTCTAAATTACTGAGTTATAACAAAATTCAGTTATAAAAATCAGTAACCACCAAGTTAAACTCTCACATCAATACAAATATATTGTTTATCATCAGACAATACTTAAAATGAAGAAGAAAATGATTTATTACATGCAACTGTGTCGTCGTCCAAACTTAAAGTCCCAAACAAAAGAGTGACTTTAAGTTGGATGGAGAATCGGCAATAAGCAACTAACTTACTCAAACTCGTTAAACTTACCCAATCACAACACGGTTCACCAGACTTAGCTTTGGCTGCAATCGACTGGAATATCGGTTTAATATGCGACCTGGAAGAAAAAACTGATGATATTGACGTATACTTTACTGTGAATAACTAAAAACAGAAATTTTTGATGACATTTACGGAAACATTCATATATGGCAGTGAAAACGAACTGGAAAAAGAAAGAAACAGATTTAGTTATAAAGATAACGCAAGCATATAACAAAGCTTAGAACCGATCAACACAGTTAATGATTACTGCGTACGTTTCACAGTACACGATTACGCTCTTTTTCCACTATCCACGCTGAATCAGACTAGGTGTTTTCTCATTAGTTCGTAGCTACTTTGACTTATTAACTTTTCTTGACATTTCACTAAAAGTGACTTACAACCTTTTTTCATTGATGTTATGGCAAGATGAAAATGACTACAAGTTACCTGATCAGTAACACTGTGATGCTTCACTGTCTGACCAGTTAATATAGAAGAAGAACGTAGACACTTTGATAACGCTCAACTTTATACCAATATTTCAGTCAGATATTTTACAGTTTAAGTCTTACTTACTGAATGACTTTTTGGATTTTTACGAAAATATCTTATCTACTTAGTACGTCAAAATAGCTTTAATATGTTTACGCAACACGACTGTCTGATCAGTATGCAAAGAAATCTACAACAGAAAATATGATGTGACAGAAACCTTATGGTTCAATAAATGTCCTCGTAATATGACATAGAAAAGTAGGGTGAACTAAGGATGAGGGCAATACTAAAAAACGGTAATTCTAAACCTACAATAACACTATTCAAGAAAAGTGCATTCGAAAGTTTACCTTGTACTCTGCAAGGGCTACGATTAGAGTGAAATTTAAACCTAAAAGCTTTTCAAGCTAGATGATCATGCAGAGCCCATTAGGCTACGCAATTTAGTTTGTCGAATTTCATACAATAATTGTGTAATCAAATGAATGGGTCAACGTAATTACCGGCGGTCAGTTAAACCGGTACACCGCAGAAAATTCATCAAATCTAGAAGGATAGACCATTAAAATAATAAATCTACAGAAACGTTCAGACAAAACAATGTACGCAAATCACGTATAGTCCCACAATGGGTGAGATAAAGTGAGTCCAAAAGTTAACTTGGCCGAGTCGATGGAGAGGTTGATAGCTGAAGCTTGGCTTAACGAATGAACACTAAACACATGTAGTGAAGAGATTTATCGATTTCAAGGTGGTATTTATCACGGACTGAATTACTGTCTATTGCTTATTAGCGACATGCTTTGAGATGAGTTCCAAAAGAAATTGTGACCCGTAGGGCAAACCAAGTAGGACGTGAGGACAAATACTCGAAGACGCCAATGGATGAAAGCCGTGTCATATTAGGAATTGATAAAGGTAAGTAAATGTAGACCAGACAGACAAAACCAATGTAGAACCTCGTATACAAGTGCGTCAAACCGAGTTGCCATACTTCACAGTAGAATACAAAGAACAGGTGGGTAGAAAAAGAGTAATATCAAAGTAGACAAAGTTATGTGAGAACAAACAATCTGAAGATAACAGTTAGTGCAAATATTCAAGCTTTAGAAGACGCCAAATAGTGTACACATTTGCACCACTGTGACCGATTTCCAGCCACTTCACTAAGAGTGGTCAACTATTGATTCCTATGGTCGCGAAGATTCCAACCAGGTAGTCTATGTTTCACAATACGGCTCATACCAACAGTTAGGGACTTCATAGACTAGTGTAACGTGTTGGTCTGACCACACTGAACCCTCTTCCAAACTTACTAAACTTCTCCAAGCATGGTAAGTCAGGATGAACCAGTGAACTGTAATTCAGTGGCTAATCTGCTCATCAAAAACCCGAAGATCACGAGTTCCATATCTTGTGGTGTTGTGGGTGTGCACTGGTGAACAGTCCCATACTAGGACGAAACAGCTGTTCAGTGCTCCCAGGTTTTCAATGGTTCTCCAATTAATGTCAGTCTGATATGAATACCACCTTAAAATTTACCATTTGTCTAAAACGTCTGGAAAAATCTATCACCATAAACGCAAAGGAATGCGAAAAAAGAACTATGGAAACAGGATGTTGTAGAGCAACCTTTGATATAACTATGACTAGTAAATTACCTTCAAAAGGTTACCCAACATTTAATAGATTTTCATTATGTAGAATGCCCAAAAAATACAGTTGAATGTTTGACCAAATTTTTCTTATCTATATACTCCTGACGTTTTCAATTTGTGATATGTGTATCCGTTAGGATGCCGACACAAACGCACTCGAATCACTTTACAATCAGATTCACAAGACATGCTTCAACGTCAGTGTGGTCTGTATCCAAAAATTGGATTGATATCAGTGGTTATCGAATGAATCTATTCCTTTTTTTTATGTCCGCTTACCAAGCTTCCGGATTACCTCCAGGCATAAGACTTGGTCCATGTCTGGCACCCTCTTCTCCACCGCTGACGCCCGTACCAACATAAAGGATTCCAAGCTTAGCTAGTTCTGAGCAGCGCCGATCAGTATCCGTATATTCTGAATTCCCTCCATCAATTATGATATCACCTTTTTCAAGTAAAGGTACCTGAAAAATCAAAAAGTAGTAGTCTAAAATGAAAAATTATTCTCTTCGTAAAAAATACACGCTGAATTACAAATATCCATTGTTAAGCAATAATTATGAAATGACGATTAAAATGTATTCATAATTACGAACTTAGTCTACTAGCTCGACTAGTATTTTGGCAGCAGAGCTTTAGTCATAAGGGATAAGCATCAGTATCTGGATAGAGCTCACTCGGCGCATGACATTCATATTCACAGTTAAGGTACTGATCATTAAGATTTTTAAACTGGGTATCAGTCAGTATATCAGAAATGTGTGCAGGAGGAATACAAAACTTATATCAATCTAGTGGATCGTGGAGATTTATTAACTGATTTCAGGTAGGAATACATCACGGACTGACATCGGTCGGACGAATATTGAAAAAATGGGAGCACCAGACAGCTGTTTCGTCCTGGTATGAGACTTCTCAGCAGTGTGCTCACAACTCCACCAGGGGTCGAATCAAGGACCTTCAGGTTCCATGGCCAGCACGTTACCATTGGTCTACTAGGTTGGAATCCAATGCCTCATATTTCCCACTTCTGTCTGTTCACGATACAGCGCGACCTTGGTCGGATGTCATTGCTAAGTAACTGTCCTCATGTTCGACTTAGTTGACTCTACCAGTCAAGACTTCTCACTGGAGCTTTAGGAATCATCAATGAGCGCTGGCTTAGTTCAATCTGGAGGTTTGTGGAGACTGGTTAAAGTTGAAATTCATGAAAATAAGGACTATTCGATTTGGAGCCAGTGGCTTGATGGCAACGTGCTCGTCACGTAACCTGCCAGTAGTATTGAGTTCAATTCTTCCAACTACTGGTGATGATTTAACACATTTTACCTCTCTTGCTTTTATTCTGCCATTGTTATTCTTCTCAGTTATAATGTTACTGGCTTGATAACCCCTCCCAGTAATTCGATAAGTTATTCGACAAGTTCATATGCGACACAATCGTTCAAAATAGCCCATGCTACTGCATTATATGTTTCAGATAATTTCCATCTTTTCACTACGCTTTTCAAAACCTAACAAGGGGACTAATTGTTTGACGACTACAAATATATCCAATAGTACTGTATTATGAAGAATAATCAGTGCTACCACATTTTTACTGTGTTGAACAGCTAAACACTGACATAATTCGTATGTCTTTGTGGACATTAGTATCCATAAGACTAAAATTTATGCATTGGATTTCTAAGCCAGTGACACAAAGTTAACCACTGAACCTACAGTTTACGAAGTAAAATAAGCGAACTATAAAACCTGTGAAGACTACAGTTTCAATAGTGTAACAGACAAAAGTAGCCACAATCACGCATCCAGTTCAAGGGAGTTGAAGCAACACTTAGCAACAATCAAAACTAACAATTAGCACAGCACTTCTTTAACCGTATTTCATATAACAAAATGATATACGAGTGAAGATTTTATTACTCTTGTTCCCTCAGTGAAGTTTGATTTTAGACATTGGGTACCACTATGGGTTAAAAATGATACACCTCGATAACAATAGCAAAAGGTTCACTGGGTATCTTGGACACCCTTCATCTAAACACTTAACATAGCAATATATGGTTCATTCGTTTATGGGTTAAATTAAAAGCAATGTTGTCGGCGAATGGCTATCAAAACTTAAGCTTCAAGCAAGAATTCGAATTTCGCTTCACTTAAAATCACAAACACATGAAGTAAGAAGTTATAAGTAAACGCCACTTGTACATAAACATACCAGCTTTGATATAAAATCATCGACTGCCTGACCTGCTTTGACCAGTAGCATAGCTTTTCTAGGGCGCTTCAAACTTTGAACGAATTCCTCTAAAGACATAGTTCCGATGATCTTAGTTCCCTTAGCTTCATTTTCAAGAAACTCCGTCACTTTCGATACAGTTCGGTTGTAAACTGAAACCTACAGTATGGTCAGTGTTTTAGAAAATAAGATAAGTACAGTGAATCCATGGTCATTCATATTTAGGACGAGGTTCTGGCCCATCACCGCCAAACCAATCATACCAATATCAGCCTGACCCATTATCCCGAAAAAACTGATAAGAGACAAGATTTGATAAACCCGTTTGCACAAGTGACCGAATCAAGGACTTTTATTATCTATCTGCCTAGTTAAAACAAAACTTGGCCCAGAGGAAGCATATGCCGGACATTAAAAAAATAACTGTAATGTTTTGCGCTTTGAATGAGTCATGCAACAGTTATTATACATGGGTAACGAAATGTGAGTTTCATCAAGAAATGCTTGAACGGATCAACTCCCACTGATTCGACGTAAATTCGTGGTAATGCATACGAATTACAGTGCTGATGAAAAATCCTGAGTAGGCGAAGGAAGTTAGTATCCTGTCATGCTGCTGAGTGTCGGTCACTGAAATTCACGGTTACTACATACTGTTGAACGCCTGCGAAGATGTCTTACTTTATCCTCCAATTTCCATTAACAACTTTTCTAAGTTGGGCTTCAGGATTGTTGAAAGTGGTTTAAGTGTTGCATCTCCATCCACACCTAAGTTGCAAATAGTTGGAATTCCACAATGCTTTTAAACAATGCTGCCCACTTAGGACAGATGCCTAGTGGCGAATGTAGAGCGAAATAGACACGGCCCATGGTTAGCTCGTTTAACTATGTCGCGCTCGCAATAAGTAGAGTACATGTAGATCATATCGAGCAGGATTTCGGGCCATTGTATCACTGGCAACTTTCCCACGACATATTACTGTCAAAATGCAGCTTTTACATTTTACATTAGGGGACGCCCATACAAAGTTGATTACGTAAGCTAATACATTGAAATTCATAGCAATATTTCCGCGTTAGCAATACCAAGTCTCTAAGATCCTCCTTCTGTTCACCCAGTGATGGCCTTTTTCATCTCATGCCTCTAAAGAAAGGCGGAAGGCATCTTGTAATCAGTCAGACTGGTGGATTGTATTCTCGGGGTTCTTTGGTGGGACCGGATGAGTTAAAACCTCTGAAGTTAGTTTTGGCACTTGATAGCGCTTGTAACTAAAGAATATCTCCAGTTATACAGGAAATGGAACTCTTGTAGTGATCTGCACCCTTCGCTCTCCACTACTGAGTTCAAGTACTTAAGTGGTAAGCTACTTATGCAGTAAGTGACTTCTTTCATGACTTAAGTAATCGTATTAACTGGTCTTCAGGGGGTAAGCAAATAAATCAATAAACGTTTTGTCCTCATATTATGAATTTGACACTGGGGAAGCCAGTTTACAGGCATCACCGCATTGATATATGTTGAATGATCTACAAGATTTTACATGCCCTGAATAGTACAGGGGGGATGTCACTAAACACCACCAAAAACATAAGATTCTGACAATTATGAAGCAGACAAGAAAATATCGCTTTTCGATATGTACACAATGCTTAGGTTTGGATGCCCTTCAGTCATTATATCACCTAAGGGGGCATGAAGGTGGTGGAATATTCCTCATTGAGTTACAAGCGACCAGCATGTTTGAACCACCTTCATCATGCCCCTCTACAACCAACGAAAGTCTATTTTACCATGGACTTATTCTTATAGCTTTACAGACCAAATTAACTAGCACTGATGATCTCAGGAGCTAGTGAGTTTCCACCCAATCATGTAATCTTAATGAATACCTATGTCCAAGCACTTCTCACCCTTCAAGTGCTACTGTTCAAAGCAACATGGACTTACGCCATTACAATCAGATGTTTTGGTGCAGAGGAGGAAACATCTGAAGAGCGTCAAACCAGTGGAAATGTGTTTTTTGTTCCGTTGACTGTAAAGTATGCGGCATTATCAAGGAAGTATATTCAGTGATAGATGAAGTACCGTCGAAAACTGCTCCAAAGCACTGTTGTGAATACGTTCCCTCCAGGGTCAATAACGACAATTTCCAATAATGATTTATGCGAACGCATGCCACTTATACAGGTAATGTTATTTCTTAATGAAGCTGTAAAAGTTTGGACCTAGATGATAACTCAAGTCTTAGTGATGAACTGGGAGGATCCCAAGGCAGTCAATCCGATCATATCGCACAGGCAAACCGGCCTGTGCAACCCACCTTTTCAGCTCTGTTTCTGAATCAAGTATTCCAAAGAGAAGTGTCGCGAAGATCTAAAGTTTTCGACAAGAAACAATGCTACCCAGCGAAATCGGAAACCCCTAGTCGTCTGGTGGCAAATAGAGCCACGAACCTCTTTCAAGTTGGTTCACTCTCATACAAAGATACTCATAAAAACACTCCTCCCTCAGAGCCAGGAATTTAGACGATCCCAGACAGCCAAAGTACGGTTCAGCCGTCCAATTGTGACAGGGCAACCAAGTCGTTCCGCCGCAGACAGCCCAAGTCACCCCAAATTGGGGAATACAGATTCAAGAAGTGACGATGAGTTGTTCTCGTCACATCCCACTGTACAGTTTCCGCCTACCCAGGAATATAACCCCAGTGCACCGCCAAAGTACTTTAGCTCACAACTGAACGTGAATAAACCCAGAACTATCCCCTTGAGAGTTCAGATACGGGACCTTATACCTCCCGTTGCTATGACAGAATCTGGCACGTGCAACGCCCATCTAGCGTTCTATGAAGAATTCACGCTCCGGAACCCCCCAGAAAACCCATCCTTTTTCGGGCTCCACGGGATAATAGCACCTCTAACCATGCAGATGATGACGTACTCGAATCGACTGCAATCAGACATAGCCAGCAACCAATTCAGTGACATAAATACCAAAGTGACACCCACCCATCACCCAGGCCGGTAAATGATCGGTCATCGTCTGAGGCGACAATGGGTAGTCTGGCATGCAACGCTGAGGAACGTGCCTACGTCCCGAAATTTCCGACCCCACATCCCGTTGACTCAAATGATGACCATGAAAGAACACTCTTATCCCGTCTCGCTAATGACCTAAGTCTTTTCATAGCCCCACCAGAATTCTCTGTTCTTCCATCTAACTCACGTTGCGTTTACCCTCAATCATCTAAAACGTCTTTCTTGCTTGACCTAGCCATGCTCCATTTTTATCACTGAAACTCCGTGTACGTCAGATACCTCAATCTCAGGCTCACATGGATGATAACAATTTGTATCGTAACGACCACAGTACTTACAAAGTTGAAGGTGGCATTGTCTACATTTGCTCAGATTTTTCATCTTCGAATGCCTTCCCATTGCTTTGGAACCTTTTAGATGATGCAGTATTCGTGAATGTCAACACTCTCCAGCATTACGATATTACCTTTGGCTGCCCATATAGGTCACATCACGCTGGACTTGCCGTTGACAAACATATCAACGAACCATTCGAGCCACCATCCCTACCAACTTGTGTAGTGGTAGGTTGCAATTTTAATATGCGGGGTATCATATGGGAGACGCTGCAATGATCATCTAGTTTCAAATCTTAGAAACCAATGGATGGGTTCAGGCTGTTGACAGCTGTACTCGACGATATAACATGCTTGACCTGCTTTTTTTAAACAACTCACCATCATTCACCACACATACTAGCACCGAATTCCAGGAAAGTGACCACAAGATTGTAGCCTATCAATTCTTTGTGACAGGTAGGTGCACTCCCACATCACTGATGCCTACAACACTCGTTGGCAGAAGTTTTGTTGACATCGACTGGCCAACCTCAGAATGCTTGATACGCTGTCTAGACTGGGACGAGTTCTTTTCATCCGATGATCTGAACAACTCTCTTACAAATTTCTATCTCAATATAAATTTCTGTCTCGCTCCAAAGAAAACACGAAAGTCGCATACTAACATCAAGGACTATATCCCTATCCCATTCAGGTGAAAATCAAGGAAACTGAGAGAAATGTTTTGAAACAAAGCAAACTACACCTACCTTGGTAAACTTCATTTTCTTACCAAGAATAGGATCAACTGTCATTCCCGGTTTGTTCTCATCCCTCTTAACTTTAATCCCCTATTGTGTTAATTATTGTACTTGTTTCCTCCAGTCCTCGGTTCAACATATGTTGACTTGACAAGTAAATGTGTGATCAGATTGTTCGAAGTGTATTGCAAAAATATATGACGTGGTTCGGATAAACTTCTTGTAATTACGCTACCGAAAATTTTTCTCGCGGCCCATGACTTTTCTGCCATTCTTAGCATCCACGCCGTTGTCAGTGACCTGGAAGTTCACAGACGAAATGGTAAAAACTTTGTCGGGCGTAAAGTTCCCAGACATGCGAATAAAACTAGCCTTCTTGCCTTTTCTCTTAAAAAGAAACTCTATGATAGACCTGGCACTCTGAATGTGTTGAAAGTAGTCAGCAAGATTGTTACAGGCAACACAGAGATATGTGAGTTACTAAGCGAAACCTTCCTCTTTGCAGATGACTTGAAAGTAGTGTACACTTTTCACCCTAACCAATGCAGCAGCACCAATACCACCATACAAAATGATCTCGACAAGTTACAAAGATGGTGTGACATGTGGTTGCTACCTCTGAATACACAGAAGTTCGGCTTTTCACCCTTTGGTGAACAGAGCGTGCCAACTAATCTTTGACATTACACTTCAACGGTTGAGACCTAGGTATGAGGTACTCCAGTGACCTTTTCCTTGCGGAACGCGTAACGGCATAATGCTCCAAATCATGCCACCTCATCGGCTTCACGCACCGAAATTCCCGCCTGGATGAAATCAAACTAATTCTATAGATTGCTGTCCTATTGCACTTCGTTGCTTGCGGTCTAGCGGCAACCGGAAAATAGCTCAACGACACTTTACCCGACTTGCTTTCCCCGGTAATTTACATAGAGGCAGATGCCATGCTAACCGATTAGAGCCTATGCGGTTAGGGCGAATAAAGTTAAACCTCAGTATTTTGTATAAAGTCCTACGCCATAAAGTGACTACTGATGTGGATGTGGTAAAGTTCGCTGGCAGGAAAACCCACAATCTTAGAGACCGAGACTGCCTGATCACACTACCACAAGCGCCTAAACAGCTCAAATCCTCATTTTTCACAGCTCGTTACGCTAACATTTGGAACAGAGTGCCGCATGATGTCGGATGCTGCAGGCATATCTTAATTCCAGTTGACCTTGAGCCACTACC